AGGAGAAGCGGGCTTTCCGCTGAGCCAGAAGCCCAATGCGGGGGCTCGATCCCAGGACCCTGGGATCATGACCTGAGCCGAAGGCAGACACTTAACGACTGAGCCACCCAGGCGCCCATTTACACTTTTATTTAATAGAATAAAAATATGATAAAATACAGAAATCATTATTAAAGAGGTATACTTACCCAAGCCGCTATAGAATACTTAGTATCTGATTTGGATAAATTGCTTGCCTTCTGTGCCTCAGGTACTTTATATGTAAAACAAAAATAATAGTGGTACCTGTTGCATAAAGATTAAATGAAAATACATGCAAAGCACCTAAAATAGTGGCTGGCACATGATAAGTTATTTTTCTTGTTACTGTTACTGCTATCTTGATAGTATAGAAGGCCTCTCCTTTTTCCTGTAAATATACTTTTACAGAGTCAGAAACAAAATAGATATGAAATTGTATATTTCTTCTTTATCTTTTCAAAAGATAAAGTGAGGAGAATGGATACAGAGTATATCTTTCAGATGAATGAATGTAGTAAAAAGACACCTCAAACTCATTTAAGCTCTTAAGCATTTTTGACAAAGAAAACATTTTTTTCCCACTGATTATTGCTGACCCAGACATTAGCGCCCTGACATAGAATGAGTAAAATCTCTCCTTTAGTAAATTAATGCCTGTGAATTTAATTTCTTATTGGAGCTTATTTTCTTAATGGTAGTAAATTAAACTTTTAGAACTCTGAGAGCAAGCTTTAGGACTTGGAGATGGATTCTGTGAACAATAATAATACCATGATAGAATTAGGAAGCTTTTAAAGAGTTATATGGGCTTAAATCCCTTAATTCTAACTCTGGGGACAAAATGCTGACCTTATTGAAGATCTCATTTTTACATTTTACATCATGCTTTTTTAAAAAGGCTTAAACTTTTCCAGCATTAGTTCAGTATAACATTAAGGACGTACTGAAATTGAACTGTCTGTAGTTTTCATCAGTGCCTGTTTGAAGGAAAGTAGGCCTCACATTAACTTCAAGAAACTACTAAGTCTTAGCAATAGCCTCTGAAGGTGGTGTGTTCTGTCAGTACTTTTTCTGACCTTTGTCTGTCTTTGTTGTTGTTGCTTTAACCAAGATACTGGTATCCTTGCATTTGACTCATTTCAAAAACTCTTTCCATGATATATAACTTTGAGGTAGAGGTCAGAAGGTGAGTAGTCAGAAAAATTTAAACACCAACCTTGAGATAAACAGAATTAAGATATACTCAATTTCTTCATAGAGTCCCTGTCTTCCCCAGCTAGAGTCTGAGTCTTTCTTCCATGCAGAGTCCGTTTCTCAGTGTATTTTTTTATAATAGAATTGAAATAAATATCCCTTCAATTTGATGTCAGTAATCAGCAAGGATGTGTTTTTAAATAGCATTTTAAAGTCTACTTATTTCTGAAGGATAATACAGGAAGAGTGGTATAGTTACTGATATCTTGATAGATCGTTGGTTATAGATTTTCTCAGTTCACATGTGAGTTTTCTCAGGCCCTGTATCAGTAAGCTCTAGGGCTGACATCTCAGAAAAATATTATTCTAAAGATGAAATTGTACATACTTACAAAGAATAGTAAACTTAAAGAAACAGAAGACTTGGCTTCTGGTCTAAACATTGTTACTTGGTAGCCACATCATCTGGAATACCTTTCTGGGTTTTCCATCTGTATTTTTTTAAAAAGCCCATCTTAGAAGGCTTGAGGTAAGATGTCAGTAAAATAAAAAATTATAAAGCACATTGTGACATTTCCTTTTTTAAATTATTAAAGGATAGCGCAAATATAACATGGTTAATGCAGCTTTCATTAGCTAATTAATATATAAATGACATGAAACTCTTAAAAGATAGAGTGCTGTTCTTTTCTGAAAATCTGTTACTTTATATACTGCTTAAGGATTCTGATTTGTTTGGGACAAAGTCTTCAGTTAATTTTTACTGTTTTTTTTCCAGTTGTATATGTATCAGCTGTTCCGAAGTTTAGCCTATATCCATTCCTTTGGAATATGCCATCGGGATATTAAACCACAGAACCTCTTGTTGGATCCTGATACAGCTGTCTTAAAACTCTGTGACTTTGGAAGGTAAGCTAGCTTTCTTTTCTTCTCCCTTCTTTCACTCCTCCCCAATCCCAACCTCCATCCCTATATGCTCTTTTAAAACTATATGCCTTTTACAATATCAGTCCAAAAATACCATAGTCCTTATTCAGGGAGTATGCACTAGTTACAGATTCTTGTGAGGGTAGTTTAGTCAATTCTGTTAGAATTGTAAATATGTATAATTTTTTATCCAGCAGTTTAATTAGTTAGAAATTATTCCCTTAGAAATACTTTAAAATAGTGTATATACAGGGATTTTTATCATAACATTGTTTATAAATGTCAGTAGGAAAATGACCAAATAAATTATAGCATATACACATTTAACGTAATACATGCAACTATAAAAAAAGAATGAGGTAGCTGTCTGTGAATTTAAAAGGAATGATGTCAGTAAAATAAGGAATGATGTCTAAGAAATATTAAATTAAAAAAAACAAGGTCAGGACTATATAAAGTTTGTTCCTTTTTCTGTTTTAAAAACATAGTATAGGGGCGCCTGGGTGGCTCATTGGTTAAGTGACTGCCTTCGGCTCAGGTCATGATCCTGGAGTCCCGGGATCAAGTCCCACATCGGGCTCCCTGCTCAGCGGGGAACCTGCTTCTCCCTCTCCCACTCCCCCTACTTGTGTTCCCCCTCACGCTGTCTCTCTCTCTCTCTCTGTCAATTAAATAAATAAATAAAATCTTAAAAACAAACAAACAAACAAAAAAAAACATAGTATAGTCACATGTATATAGATAAATGATTATTGATTTCTGGAATGATACGTAATAAACCCGGAACATTGATTGCCCCTAGGAAGGGAAACAGGGAGTATAGTGTGGTTGGGAAACTTGCTTTTTCATTGATAGTACTTCATATTGTTTGAATGTTTTCTTATGTGTTTATATTCCTTTCTTAATAAGAACTAATTTTTTTAAAGGTTTTATTTATTTATTAGAGAGAAAGGGGCGGTGAGAGAGCAAGCCGGGGGTAGGAAGGGAGGGCCACAGAGACAGAATCTCAAGCAGACTCTGCTCTGAGCAGGGAGCCCAACGTGGGACTTGGTCTTACGACCCCGAGATCATAACCTGAGCCAAAACCAAGAGTCTGCTGCTCAACCTACTGAGCCACCCAGGCGCCCCAGAACTAATTTTTTTTAAAAATATTAGCATTTGTTACTGCATTCTTTTTCACTTCAGTGTTAACCTTATAGTAGCAGTATTTTCTTCCTTTTCCTCTGTAATTGAGTCTCTTATTCCCCTTTTCTGCAAATTCCAGTGCACTTTGCTTCCTTAAACTAGTTCCTTGGTAATATTATATTGTGTAATAAGACTTCATCCTTTTTATCTTCATAGTATTCAGCATCTTGTGCTTCTTTGATCTATCCTTTCAACATGAAACCAAGCTTATATCCTCATGTAACTCAGTTAACCTTCTTCCACCTAGATTAGCCTCTCTCCTCTCAGTCCCTAATACATTGCCACATAACTTGGATTCTCTCCAATTTTTTTCATCCTTACAAATTCTTTTCATTGACCCACATCTCCTAATATCTCTTTTTCTACCTTTTTGTAATACTTTATATCAACCCACAGTTTAAATTTTAGGTTTATTATAAGATATATTTTCCATAGGCTGTCTCTTGAGCGTGTCAGAAAAACAAGCACATCTGCTCTATCAGAATCAATTCTTAGTCTAATGGAGTGCTCCTTCAGACCATCCCCTTTTTACAGTTAACTGATCTCAGACACCTGTTGTAGGATTCAGTTCATTTTGCAGGCTATAACTCTTCTTCAACTATAAGAAAAGGTGAAGGATATTAAATCAAAACTCTTATCTGATGCTTGAAACAAAGTACACATACTTCTAAAATCAGATGAGCTTTATTGTTATGGGGTATGTTCCCCACTGACAGTGACTGACTAGTATGAACTGTAAAAAGACAGTGAGACATCAAGTTTAGTGGAGTTTCTGTTCTCACCATAGTGTCAAAACACTGCTGCTATGGACCATTTTATTGGGACATAGGAATCGCTTTGTTCTAATATATTTAAAATGAGGATTTCACTTCTATGGTAATAGGTCATTTTTAAAAGCTCCAATTAATAACAAAGCTGCCCTTTTTTGTTTGTTTTTAACAGTTGGTTAAAATACTTTGTGGCATGTATTTTAAACATTGCTTTATTATTTTGAAGAAAAGTTGGATTAGAGAACATGTAACTAAATTTACCACAGCAGAGGTAGAATTCAGAGGCTGTGAATCATCTCTGACCTACAGGAGAGGACCTATCTTATTATTGGGTAATGAATATTTAGACAATTAATAAAGTGACCAACATAATGGAAAAAGAAAGTAGATTGGGTAAGCCTTGGGATATTTACTCTGATGCAGAAGTCAAATTATAAATCAATTATAAAGTCAAATTATAAATCAGTTTTCTGTTAAAAAAAAAAAAACTCGGGTAAGAAGTATTCATTCTTACAATCCATTACTGTGCTTTTTGGTGGGTGGAGGTACTTCCTACTTTTCTGCCCTTCCTTCTTTATATTTTAGAGGTAGTATTCAAGGAACAGAGGATAACAAGAAGTTCAGCATTTGTCCTTTTACGACTTTGTCTCTTTTTCCTTAGGTGACAGTTGACAAATGCATTCTTTAAAAGCTACTTTTTTTTTTTTTTAATTACTGTTACATTAAAATTGTTTCTTTTGTCAGGTAGTTATGGTTCATATTTTTCTTTTTTGCATGTTGTGTGATTTAATTGTGTGAATCTTAGATAAATGTTCAGTGTTGTCAATGACAGTTTAAGTTCTTTTAAGGTTTACACTTAGTTTAAAAAATTTATGCTTTTTATTTTTTTTATTAGTGCAAAGCAGCTGGTCCGAGGAGAACCCAATGTTTCGTATATCTGTTCTCGGTACTATAGGGCACCAGAGTTGATCTTTGGAGCCACTGATTATACCTCTAGTATAGGTAAGTACCGAATATGAATATAATGGCTTGTAATTATTTATTATGTCTTATTTTTAGTAATTTGGTATTACTAATCTCTACTTTCACTTAACTATAAAAATAGGAATGACCTAAAGTCTGTTTCTCCTTAAAGACTCATGTGCAAAAATGTGTAGAGTATTTTAAATGTCAACTCTCAGAATTTAAGGTATATTTACTATTTTATATTAAGGTTTCTGGGATTTTTTGAGAGAATAATAAAGCTATTCCTTTATAATTGCATGGTTCCACTATGATTACGTTTGTTTTTAACTTAAAATTTCAAATAAATCCTAAGTGTATCTTTTCTTTTTTAAAATTTTAATTCTCCTGAAATACTTCTGAGCTTGATCACTAGTTGGAGAATTTGCGTCCATAACATTGATGATGAAAATGATAGGATGGCCATGTTGTTGACATTTCTACTATGCTGTCCCAGTTGGTTATTTACTTTTAAGTCAGGTCACAAAAAACAACATATAATCAGTGGGCTAAACCCACTGATTCTGTAGAAGTCTTCATGAAAGATCTTTAGTGATAGCACAAATTGAATAGGGATGATTTGCTTCAGTCTTCAATGACACCCCCTCTTTTACCCCATTTTAGCCCACTAACAGAAGTGAGCATAGTACTATCAGCTGTGCATGAATAGTAAAGCTAAGAAAGGAGGAGCAACCTTAGGCTAGGTGTACAGGTGGAGGTCAGAATTATTTTATTGTTATTTACTGTTTCTGAAGAGAATCCCTTAGTCCAAAAACAGAAACAAGAGCATGCAAACACCAAACCAACGAACCAGAAAGAACAACCATGGTTACAGAACACTAAGAAAAACCAGAATATGGACAGTTTTTGTCTTTTAATACAAGTGGAAATTATCTGATACGAACACAGGCCTCTAAACAGAAATGCATTACCATTTTTATTTTGCCCAAAGGACAAAATGCCAAAAAGCAATTTGATTTGTGCCAAGGGACCCACAGTTTTACCCATCATTTCTTTTGCACCAGTAGTGCAAATGTCAACACAATGAAAAAGGTAGATAATATCTTAGTATTCTTATGAAAATAGTTTTACCCATTAGGACCTCTAAAAAGGTGCAGGAGGCCCAGGGCTCTGCACACCATACTTTGAGACCTGCTACACTGGAGGATAGAGGGTATAATCTCGTGTGTGTGTGTGTGTGTGTGTGTGTGTGTGTGTGTGTGTAATGCTGAAAGTTTCATGATGGCTATTATGTGTCCTGTGTTAAGGGACAAATGAGAAATAGCAAAAAGGGTATTTTGGTTGGAGTAGAACGAGATTTGAGTTCTAGGTTTGTTACTACTTACCTAAGCTATGAAGTGGAGATTGCTAATAGTTCTACCTACCTTTCTGAGTGGCTGTGAAGATTAAATAAAATATTAGTGAAAGACTATAGAAATGGAAGATGGTATCAAAAGGAATGAGATCTTGCCATTTGCAACGA